GTATTATTTTCTCAGTGATTTCTGACTCATTGATCTTTTCTGTGTTGGTTCTATTGACATAAACTTTCTTCAACTTCAGAGAGAAGACGGTGGCTTCCCTCATTTCATTGGGTGCATATCCTAGAGCATCAACAAAGCGATCACTAGAATATCCTACAGGCATTACACCTGCCGATCTGGCCTCTGCCAATGGACATAAAAGAATTTCTGTATACCTTGGAAAAAGACCCCCTAATTCATTAAGAGGTTCGTTTCTTTTAAATTTTAATTTCTCTCCTTTTAGCTTATTTTTTAAAAATCAAATTTAAGTAATTTTTAGCACATGCTATCCTCTTTAAAATATATAATCCCATCCTGCAAAAGCATTTTTGGGTTTCAAATCTTTATATAAAAAAGTCTTGTGTTGAACTTATTATTATTGTTATTATTCCTGACCATCACTCTTTTTAATTAGTGCTTGTGTCAATTATGACATATGAAACTCTGTAAAAATTAAAGTCTTATTCATAGAAATAATTTATTTATTAATTATTTTTTGGATTCTGTTTTTATTTTCTTGTCTTGCTCATGAATTTGAATAATTCTGAAGAAAATGGTATGGCCCTTGTTAATTGTCGTGGGCCACTCTGATGTTAGAAACCTTATTCTTCAAGCAAGCAAGCATGATGGCTTTGATTCTTTTCTTTACAGCCTCTTAATCCTAATAAGCCCTTGTTACACATTTATGTCAAGTTGGCCTGACCTAGACTTAGTTCTGAATCCATGTGTACCATACCTTTTGTTTATTCCTTTTGGATTAATTTTGTTAAAGCATGGGAAAATTTTGCCATAATTTTATTTTCCTGATTTTCCTGTTTTTTGGTTTGCAGCTGGCATGTTGGAATTTATACGAATGGTGAAGAGTGGTGAATATGTGCCAAAGAGTGGTGAAGTTCGCCGAAGCAAAGGTGAATTTTATTTATTAATTATTTTTTGGATTCTGTTTTTATTTTCTTGTCTTACTCATGAATTTGAATAATTCTGAAGAATATGGTATGGCCCTTGTTAATTGTCGTGGGCCACTCTGATGTTAGAAAACCTTATTCTTCAAGCAAGCAAAGCATGATGGCTTT